TGACCTCTGCAATGTACAAGTATACATATACATGTATATAGTTCCATTGTTTTATCGTCCGACATACGAATGGCAGTTACAACGAGAAAACCAATTTTCGAACTAAGTACAAACGTGCTGGTAATATCGATTTACTTTTTTTCGGTTCACATACACAAATATTGTTTAAAAAACCGAGACCAGTTGCAAGAGTATCTACACACTTATTATTATGCGTTTCGACGAAGGTGTTATAGACTAAATTATCGATGGACTACTATACAACCAGGTACACTGTAATAGATATATGGTCGGATTATTTTAACACCGTCTCTTTTTCACATACACACATATGGTATTATTGATATCTTTAATATTCATGCACCAGTTGGTCAATCATATGTGCACGTGCACGTAATTACTGGCGTACAAACCCTGTGGCTTAGAATTAAAAAATCTGTTGAGCAGGTTGTTTTTCGAATTGGATTTAATATTTAATTTAAAGGAACAAAAAACATCGTAAGAAGAATGGATATTAACTTACTGGATTACTGTTACTAGTGTTAAGATCTATGAGTTTTAGTACAGTGGACCACAGTGAGAAAGTTAAAAAAAGTACCAAGTTTTACTAGTCGAGCAAACTGAAATTATACTAATCTATATATTGAAAATTATAACCGCATAAATAAATAATTCAGGTTTAACATTCATAATTATTATTTTTTAATTATAATCGACTTAAATAAAGATAAACTTAAACAGAATCAATAAAATAGACATGCTTATTAATAAATAAAAATATAATTTTTATAATATTGTTACTTCAAGAGTAATTCGATTTTCAATATCTTTATCACTAATAACTTTGAAAAAAATATGGTTTTCAAAAACAAAGTATTTACAATTTGCAAAAAAAAAAATGAATTTAATTTTGATAAGATGTTATCTTACTCTATAACAAGTGCATTACTGTTTTTTTTTTTAACAACATTACACTGTTATCCCCAATAGACTTAATATAGAAAGTCTCCTGGTTTCGCCACCCTAGTTTATTAAATTGGGGTCGTTATACTCGATATTTATAAGACTACGGGGGTCCATAGTCAGCACTTCGACAGGATACCAATCACCTATTATGATTGGTCGTGAACTCCTCCACCGAAACCACTAACCATTAGAGCTTTTTTGCTACAATGACAAGTTTCTGATGCAACCCAAGTTAATATCACTATTCCAAATTACGAGGAATATCGTATGTACTAGAAAACTCTCTAAGGAATTGCATTAGTTTTTATATTTATTTTATGCTAAAACTAATATGGAATTCCAAAATCTATTGATTAATACTTATTTAACGTGCTTTGCTGCAAAATTTCCTAAATATTTTTTGAAAGAATAAAATCTTCCGAACTATTTGTTTAAAATGTAATTATTGTTAAAATACACTTAAATTTACGATAAAAAAAATTAATACAATAACTTTGATCATCTCAATAATCAAAAATATCAATAATAAAAAATAAATTATTTTTTCGCCTTACATTTTACACGTCTCGAAAAAAATACTCTAAAAGCATTTTAGTTCAGTTATCTATACAGCTAAATCAAATTACTCAAAAAATAAAAATAACATATAGTTTTTTATTTATTTAATACATATCAATTATATTTTTTATTCAAAGCCATCTATTTCCACGATGAACTTTTTATTTTAAGAGATCCCCGGAGACTCTTCATGCAAAATACAAACTGTGCATACAAACGATGATCACTTGCTAATGGAATTCAGTCTGTTAAGAACTATTATATAAATTTTATTAGTATGTATAAGAAATATTCTGAGACATAAAATGATTATGTTCAGTTGAAGATAGAATTAGATTCTACTATGATATAAACCTTTTCTTGAGCTCAAAATAAAAATGTCAAAATATTTATTTATTTTTTTAATATATAGTCAACATTATTATATTGATCCGAGGTAGATGTATACCTACCTGGCGAAATTCTTGAAAGCACACTGATTTTCTAATAAATTAAATAAAAAACAAAACATATTTTGAACATAATGCATTCAGCTCAGTTGACATGTAGGCGACCCTATAAGAAATAAATTGTGTTTTCAGACTGTTCGGCCAGCGGGATACATTTTATTATTGTGTTGTTCGGCTAATTAACATCCTGGTCTTTCTATAATATACTACTACAATAACATTGTGTGGATGCACTTTTTTTCTTATTACTTCCGCGAAATCTTTGGCCAGACTCCTGTAGTCGCACACGGACTCGTTTTGTCAACAACATCGTAGACGACTATGCGATTATCGAGAGACGTTGTGTTGGTCTTTGATTACGCACTCTATTACCACTATATGATGTGCAGGATAAAAAAAATTATATACACGCGTATATATGTAAAGATATATCAAATGAATCCATTGAACAATTTTTTTATTTTCCATAACCGCTTCATTAATGTTCTTCAAATGCAAAATGTAGTATGGTGATGCATTCTATTAGTTTTGTTATTTATCAGTTCGTTTTTCACGTTTTGCGCATATGGACAAATAAAAATGNTGCCCATCAGTTCGTTTTTCACGTTTTGCGCATATGGACAAATAAAAATGTAGAACGAATACTGGACAACGGCAGCAATTGTAAGCAAAACAGACAGCAAATATATAATATAATACTTTTGTTTTAAGTATTAGACAAATAAAAAAAAAAACCACACAGTGAGGTCGCGGTACAGTAGGGACATAAATGGGATAAGTATAGATGATATCTCGCAGTGATTAAAATCAATATCATAAAAACGCTTCAATGCAAATCTGTAGTGATTAATTTTTATAAATAACTATTGGAATAATAATTCAATAATTATAATAATTGAACTGAAATTTCGAGAAGCTAATGTTATGTACTATAAGTTCAAAAAAAATAATTTGTCCCAAAGACTTAACTTCTATGGGAAAATGGTTGCCATAGTTAAAAAACGTACATACTCGGTGTTAAAATTTACGATTTCATATATAATTTTTTCAACTTTAAATTACTATAACTTTTTGAAAAATATATAGAGCAATACAAATTATTGTTTCTAAATAAATTATAAATACAGGGTGATTTTTTTTATCATAACCCACTCAATAACTTACAGAATAAATATATTTAAAAATTTTTTTTTTTGGTTATCTTTAATTACACATTATTCTTGAATTATTAACTATGTAATACTTTCATCCCTTATGCCTTGTAAGGGTGTCAACTTTGTTTTTTTAGATGGAAACACATATTTTTAATTTAATAAAATTTTTGAGTTTTTAAGTTAATAGTAAAAGGCATTTGAAATTTTAATATAACTTTATTCGTTTATTAGATATAAACATTTAAAGTTTCAAATTTTTGAGTTAATAGACATATATAATACACAAGGTATTACAAATACAGGTAGCTAATTGGTTTTTTATGACATAAAAATTCGCAGATACATAGCATTGTTCTTACAATGGTATTATGGCATATTGTTTCGAGTTCATAAATACACTAACTGACTATATAAAAAGTATATCTATTGATAGTCATAATTGATAATAAACAATTCATGATTGTTATATATTATTTAATATATTAGCAACTATCATTATCATTACCATTCATTATGATGATTTTCAGACCTTTTTTGTCTTACTTTTGTAAGTCTATTGACTTCATTTTCCCCTTCCAATGTTCCTAGTATATTATACTCATTATATCTTTTAAACATAGCCTTACTTACCATACAGTTGACTTCTATACACAAGATTTAATTTTCCATCCAATCTTCTCTTATTTTGCTCTTCTAACATACTTTGAACTGCTTTTTCATACACTCTATGATTATTTTCAACACCAGGTTTCCTTGTTTCCTGGTATTTCAATCTTACTCTTACTAATAATCTCCTTTGCAGTATTCTTTACATAAATAGCATATATATTCCACACATCATATTTGAAATTCATATTTAAATTTGAGTATGAATCTTTTTTCAAAAAAAAAAAAACTGAATTTTCCAGTATAACATTTTTTAAATTTTACTTACAATTTTGTAACTTTAACAAACAAATAAATAAATTTATAAACATTTAAAAATGATATCTTGGTGTATTTTAAGTAAATATAATGCAAGCAAATTACTTTTAATACTAAAAATTAAAGGAAAATAACGAAAAGTCACAATTAAATGTGTTTTTATTATAAACTTTTCCAGTATTGTTATATTTTAAAGTAATTAAGTAATTATTTAATACAACCTTAAACAATATTTTAATTATTAATACGATAATTTATTTAGATTTTACACGTGATATTTGTATAATTATAAAGAAAGGTTTTTAAGCGATTTGTTTAATTCACGTTGATATTAGATTTTTACTTTGTGCAGGCCATTTTTACTTGTTGTATGAAACCAAAACTGGTTTTACCTTCCAAAATTGTTCATATCTATGTAAAAATGAATTAAAAATAATTTGAAATTAATAAATATAATCAAATTATTGATGGTATCGCTGTTTATTGAGGCTAATAAGGTCTTTTTTTTATAATTTACATGTAGTACGCAAAATATTGATCTTCTGAAAAAAACTAGAATTCTCGGTCCTATATTTCCAGAAACAATTTGGTCCTATCCATCCTTTTTCAGATTTAAATTTCCAATTATTTCTCAACAAATACACAATACCTATTGAATTGGTTTGGTTTTGATTAAATTGGGAGCAAAAAAGTAACACATGTAAATGTTTTCACATCAATAAAATTTTTTTGTTTTAAAAATCTGTTTTATTTGTTCAACACATAGGTGAAATTAGAATACACTATTTGGAGTTGCTAATTCCCGATCCCACTTTGCTTTTGAAGTCTCTCTCTTTGCTAGAAATGCGGAGAATTTCTATTATACAGCTATATTTGTAACATTGCAATTTATTATATAATAATAATCATAAACGTAGGTAATGATGATAAACAATAGTTAACACTTAAAACACAAGTTATTATTGAAAATAATGATAAGTATTTCAAATATACTTTATTATTAAAAAATAATACAAAATTAAAAAATGAATAGTTTTTGATTTGTTTTATATTGTAATTGCTTTTTTGGCAAGGTTTAACTTATTCGTTGTCATGTTGTATTATTTCTTTTTTTTTGTTTTCATCTTTACTGGATATTAGCAACCATTTTAAATCTGAAAAAATGTATTCTAAATAAAATTATCAGCATACAAAAATATGTAAAATGATATATACGTCTTAAAGAACCGTATTATGCATTTTCTATAGTATATATATGTTTGAATATAATTAAATTATATTATAATTAGTTAAAAGTTAGATGTTTTATTCACATTCAATATTTTTAATAGTATTATATAAATAACACAGCCCAGCAGAAAATGAAATATATTATTATATTATGTTTCATTTTTAAAATTTCATTAAAAATATGAAATTTAATGTTATACTTCAGGTGTTTTCATTAAATTTTTATTTTAATAAATTGATAAATATGAATATTTAATTAATTTAATATTTATAGATGATACTTAATTTTAGTAGTAAAAAATTGTGTTATTATATTTTATTCAATATTTTCTTTTAAACTATAATAATTTATTTGAAAAGTTGTAATAAATAAAAAATAACTCAGATTTTTAAATGCACACCCTTTTGAAGTTAAAATAAATTCATTTATTGTAAAAATGTATACATTTGTGTAAAAATAAATATGGCATCGTTTTTGTTACCTATTATTTTATTGTTCTTCATAACATGCGTTTCAATTAATGTGACAAAATCAATATGGCTTAATTTATATTTGATTTATTATTAAGTATCCCACAAAAATTTATATTCAATAATATTATATATATATATAATGAAAAATATTATAATTAATAAATTGTATAGTTAAAAATATTACAATAAAATAAAGTCTTACTTATAAGATTGAATTTTTCGAGATTGCAATTTTTAATTAATTCTATAGCCTCGTTTTTTGCTATGTAAATGTTATTTGGTTTTTTTTCGGGTTTAGCATCAGAGAGCTTTATCTAAATAATTCATTATACTTATAATTAGAGTTGATAAGTTACTAAAAAAAAATAATTATAAGGAGTTCTGTAAGTCATAGATAAAAAAAAGTGATATTATCACCAAAGGTGAATTTTGAGGATTATTTCGAATTATAATGTTTTCCCTTAGTAATTTTCTGTGGTTCTTAAAATAGATTAATTTTTTTAGAAAAGTAAAATACCTGCCACCATTTTGATTTAGGTTCTATCAATTTCTCGATCCCTAAAAAATCAAAAATACAATTTGATAATTGCCATTAATGAACACAGTTTTATTTGTACTTGGTTAAAAAAGAGTAGGTACTATGAACATAATGTTACCGCCGAAAATATAAGTTAATTTATAAACGCTTTATCATTTTTAATTTGTAAATTGTGGATTAAAAAATTTTATTTTTCACATAATTGTTATTTTAATTATCATTAGATATATACATTTACATACATTTTATTAGACATTAAATTACTCAATTAGCTTTATAAATATAAAAGAGATATAATAATGAATAAATTATATTTGGTTCTTAAAAAACAACGCATTTATTTTTTAACTCACTATTTACAAATTAATAATGATAATGCGTAATAGATTAACTTGGTTTATTTTCAATGCTATGTCAAATTATCATAATTAGTGTCTAATTAAAGATATTACTCTAAAAAATTGAAAAATTTCCCCTTTACCAAATAAATATGAAATATTTTTCATCAATTTAGACCAAATAATACTTTGCTAAACCACATTTTTGCGCTGATTTCCAACCTGCAATTACATTTTTCCATCGCCTCTATTTTAAAATTATTACTAATTTATAAAAAAAAGTTTCAATAAAAATACTAATCATATTTATTTAACTCTTGGTGTTTTAATAGTTGTTACAATTGAATTATGTAGAACTATATTCCGAATAGTTACACGGTATATTATTCTAATGATATTCAGAAATATTCTGTGGCTATTTTCATTTATTTAACCCTGTGTCTTTGAACTTTATTTTAATATATATTTTTTTGGTTATTTTTTTTTATATGCCAATTAAACTTGTTTTAACTAATTAGTAATAATAAAAAAAAGTAGTGGCGATAAAAAAAATCAAATTTCATATTTGAAATAAATGCGAAAATTTGACCAAAAATCACTATCATCTATAATTATTCCAATTATGCCACGTCCATACTGTAGCGCTCGTTTATTTAACATTAAAACTACAATTAACGTTTTATAAACTTTTAATATTTATTATTATTGTAAAAATGCTTTGTGGAATAAAATATCATATCTTTTTTTTTCTGTAAAAATATAAGAAATATATTGTAATATTTACTAGAAAGTTTGACTTTTTCACGACTTATTAATTCAATCATTTCAATTGCAGTAGTTTTTTCAATGAATCCCGATTTATCAGCTCGGTCATCAAATAAATTTGCTTTCAACTCAATTTTTCGTAGTTTTTCGAATGTGTTATTTATAAATTCATCATATTCATACATTTCATCATCTATAAAATATCAAATATATAATAGTTAAAAAAAACTTCGTAATCCAGAGCCTCACTCAGAGAAAAAATAAATTTTCTTGACCAGGCCTGATTAAACTAGGCGAGCTACCAAGAAAATATCAATGATCCTCTTTAATTGGATAACCGTAGTAAATATTTAGGTCTACTTTTAATGATTTGTACATGGACATAATAACAAGCACTGTGATTTTGCTTCTATTCGCTTAAAATTAATAGTAAATTTTTATAAAAAAAGTATAATTTAACTACATAGTTATATTATAATTTTACTGTTAATTACATTTAAACACTATTAATCAGGATATCATTAAGGAAATAGTAGATCATGTAGCTTTTGGAATAATCCATCATTATTTTAAAATTAAACACTATCTAAAGATTTGCATCGAAGCGTTTTTTATGATAGCGATTTTAATCACTATCAGATATCATTATACTTGACCCAACTATGGCACGTCACCACTGTGCCGCGACCACCCTGTGCTGGGTTTTTTTTACTATTAAATTAAAAATATGTGATAATTTATCAAATAAAATTTTTGAGTCGGTATTTTGGGTTAGGGATGAGTCAACTCCCATTATCTTTTTATAACACAACCTCTGTTTTTTAATTAATATTTTATGATATATTTATCAGTTATCAATTTTTTTTAAGCAACTTAACAAGTAGTTCAAATTACTAGTGATTTGAATTGGGAGTTGCTTAAGTTTGAGTTGCATCCATAGATACAATAGTACTATTGGCGACATGTTTAAACGTTATGTAAATTTTTCATAGGATGATAAAATATTATTACGGGCTATTTCTTATGCTACATAAAACACATACACAAGAATGACATTAATATTATAACAAAATTCAACTGATAACAATTGATTATCAATTGTTTCAACTTTTAATTCCGTTCTGACAAACATAGCCGATAATGTATTGTCGAATTCAACGCAGCCTGTGATCGATTGACAGAGACAGTAAATAAAAATTTGTATTCTTAGAAATAACATCAAAATATTTTATATTGTTTAATTCTGGGTAGAACAAAATATGCATTAACATAATTAAAAGTACTAATATAATGAACATAAAAACGAGAAATTCTTTATTTATTTAAATAGATTTATCTAAATGAGTGTATATTCCAACTATGATAGTTTTCAAATACTCGTTTTCGTAATCATTTAGGTGAGATACAAGTTCAGTATTTTTTATCTAGTTATCGTATCTAGATAACGCTAAACATTTGTTACGACTTGTTAAGTCTCTTTATTCATTTTCTCAATTTGAGCACTGCATGCATGATAGATTACTTAAATTTTATCAGCCTAAATTGTATTTAATTAAGGTAAATTGAATGATAATTACATATTAAGATATATTACCATTAATAGTTTCATTATTTTCAAAGAAATCTAATGCCTCTTTATCGTCATAAGATATACCATTGAGTAATTGTTTGAATATTTTTCCACTAACTCTATTGTTATCATCACTGTTAAATTTTAAAAAATCTCTCATGTTAATTTCTACCATAACAGTTAATAGACTTGAATATTTTTCTTTGAACTGAAAAATTAAGTGTAAAACTATTATTATACATTTAATCATACTAGGCCTATAAATATTTAACACGGCCGCCGAGGATTGACGGCCGTTTATAGAAAGTGTACCGGAAATCATGTGAAAAAAAGAGGCACGGTACGGGATTAGAGCCCACGACCCAAGGCGTCGTATAGGCAAAATCTTACCACTAGGCCACCGTGCACTTTTTTTTTTTTGATTCAGATACCGATATACTTTCATTTAGGTTGATAACGTGATGTGCGGCTGAGAGAAACACGGTACCGTGTCATATTAGCTAATATATTCATATCATATATATTAGCAACTATGTTGTTTTCATTAATTTTTGGTCAAAATGAATATAATTTTACACATATAATATTGTGTTTTTATAGAAAGTAACTTAATTAAAAGTATACACTGTTTTTCTATGGCATATAACTTGTAGTATATGATTGTTATAAACAATTTTTATTTTCTTCAAGCTCGACAAACTATAAAAATAAGTAGTAATAATGAGATTATAACTCTATTTAATGAGTAATAAACTAAAAAATAATCTAAATTAAATCGTAATAATTATTCGGTAAGTTAAACGAGCAAATAAATAAATAATTGTTTAAACAGGAATATTTTACTCGAAATAACAAAATAACCACAAAATTTATTACATTTAGAAAGTTTGTAATTCAATATCATAATATTTAATATATATGAGTAAAAAAAAATAATAATATTTTTTAATAAATAACATAATTTTTATAATCTATTCAATTAATTTTATCTTTATGATTTTTAATGACTAAAAACATGTAAATAGAATTTAAGATGTAATTATTATTGGTTTATACCTATAAATTAAAATAAATTGTTTCATAAATAGACTCTAACACCATATGGACTTATATCCCATTTAATGTTACGAGAAAAATAAATGTATTTTCTTATACTATATTTTTTTATAAAATATAATTTATTTATTTCATTATGACAATTAACAAAGTAATCAACGATAACAAACCTCATAACATTGTTTTTTTAAATAGTTATAATTCCCGGAATATTAAAATTAAACGTAAATAATAATACGTTTTTCAAAATTAAAAATATATTTAATATTACTTTAAAACTAACAAATATGAAAAATATTTAATTCAATAATCCACAAAATTACTAAAATATCATGAATACGTGTTAAATTTTGATAACTCAAACCTTTAATTTAATGTCAGAAGATTCTGTTTTTTTAATATTAAAATTTTTGATATGACATTTCGATATTTAAATTTGACAAACTTTAAGTTTTAGTTTTTTTTTAATAGCCTTTTTAAAAAAATAATTATTTAAACAATTATAAGCAAAAGTAAAAAGTATAACAGCCATAGTACTATGTTATAACGGTACAACAAATGCGGCAATAATTGTTAGTATTATATTAGTACATTATTTAAAATTATTGTAAACAGAGTCTTTAATGACAAACTGAAAAATTATTAAATTAAAATTTTAAATTGAAAGAAAGGAAGAGAGAAAAAACAGATAAATAAATAACTACAAAATAAAAATAAAAAATAATTATAATGAAATAACGGGAATTGAGAGTATTAGCTATGGAAGGGGGATAAATATTATGGGAGGTTAGGAGGCTAAATAGTTCATTGCTGCTGTTAATTAGGACAGGACAATCAAAGAGAAGATGAGGAAATTCGCATAGAACTTCACTATCCTGTATGAATGAAACGGAAATTAGGAAACCATCTCAGCTTAGGATCCAGTTTGAGGACTAAATAAGTGATGCAATCAGATGGGGGGATGGTTATCCCATCAAGAGTAATTATGGGGTAAACAAACACAATTTAAACACAAAACAATAGAATATGCATATTTTGTTTATTAGTAGAAAAATCATGATTTTTCTATGAATTAATTTATTTAAATCTACATTGCAAAATGCAATTTTATATATTTTTAAATATTTTGTTGATTAAAAAAATTATAAATCAAATTTAAAATATGTTATGATATTTTAATTGTCTAAAAGTGTATTTATAAAAAAAAATGTATTAGAAAATAATACGAAATCAAAAATTTTAAGTCAATATGAAGCACCGTGTATACATATTAATTATATTTATGTGGTAATTTTTAACCCATTTTTTTAATACACAGACAATATTTTTAATACTAAAAGTTACCTCTATTTCGTCAAGTGGACGGATTGACTCTGAAAATGCTGTAACCCAGCAAACTATAAAAAATAAGATTACTGAAAATGAATACATTTTAAAATTTAAGTCTAGTCTAATTGTTAAATTTTTTAAAAGATTGGAAAATATTTTTTTAATGTTATGTACTGTTTCGTTTTGACTAAAAAATTGAAAATATTCGATTTAATTTATTGAACAATTCGATAAAAAAAAATGAACTATGGACATTAGTCACAAATTACACACACGTCATCAAACCAAATTTTTATTTATTTTTGAATACTTATAGCTTTTTCAACATAACACATTTACAAGTAAAATGTATTAATGTTTACTTTATTTAATTTCAATTTAGTTGTTTTATATTTTAAAAATCAACTAATATCTTATTATTATGGAGTACTGTTTATTATTAGCTAATTTAATGGAAAATCTTAATATATTGTTGTTATACACGTTATTTGCGCCACTATAAAATTTGAAAATATAGTTGCCTACACACGATTTGTCTCCTTCCCTCAGGTCATTGGATGGCGGTAGCCGTCTTATCAAAGCAGGTGGTTGGGTTAATATAAATATCAAATAAAGATTAAAAGTTCCCTGTATTTTATGAAAAAATAATTAGTTTAATATAAAATATTTTAGATAATCGTTTAGTGGCAATTTTAACACATGCACAATTAATGCTAAAAACAATTTATTTTTTCAATTTTCGACGATTAGAATGTTTGTCATTTTCACTCATCGCTTATTTTTACGCTTGGTAAATAAGCTTACAATTTTTTAATAATTATACACATACAATTTTTTTACATTATATAACTTAGAATAGCAATCAAAATTAGAGTTTTTCCACATACAATATTATAGGAAAAAGAAAAATAATATTGTAGTATAATTTATTATTATTCATAATGATCATATTTTACATAAAAATTACAATATTTTTAGGGTGGACAATTATAATTGAATAAAAATTTGTCCAGACGACTTATCTTCTATGTTCAAATAGTAGCCGTAAAGAAAAATATGCTATTAGCTTCGATGCGAAGCTGAGAAGGTATTGGTTTTACTATGATGTGTTTTTTTTTATTATTTTTTTTTTTCGTATCTGTTACCACTTTTACTCAGCTCTCACTGAACGGATTTCTTTCAACGATACATCAAAAGATCACAAATCGTATCTAGTCGAATACATTACCCTCAAAAATTGAAAAAAATTCCCTCGTTCCCCGTAAATGGGGGAAACCTCCAAAAAAATTACAAATTTAAAAATCGCTAATTTTCGAAATTTTTTCAATTTTTTTTACTAAAAACTGCCGTAACTTTTTCAAAAATGAACATATCAATATAATTTTTTTTT